ACTGACGTTCTTAACAAAGTTTGACTTCTTCTGCGACGTATTATAGAACACTCACGGCAACATGGAATCCAATTGTCTTCTACAGTAAAGAGGCAAGCCGCTGTCAATGGTGACGTCATCTGTGCGTCGTCCTCCGTTAGATCATACATACAAAACATATAAAACAGAATTGATAATCTGAACAAAACAGATACAAAATAAGTTTTGGGATTATCATATTTCCTCATACACTTCTTCATTTTGTTTCCCACCATTTTCTTCAGGAAGCACCATATTATAATATCCGGGGTTCTCGAGTTTTTCCTGTAACGACTGGTACATAGAAGGAACATGAGACTCCTGGTTCGAAGGCCTGGATTTGAGTTCCATATATGTACCTGGGTCTGACGCTTGATCGTCACTTGACTGTTGATCAGGTAAAGATTTGACACCATCGAAGTCAATTTTTTCTTTGCTCTGTATCCTTTTATTAGGAACAGCTCCTCTCCGCTGCCATATCAGCCCACAAATTATAACGAGCAACACGAACACAATACAAGACAATGCGATGACAATGGCAAGTAAGATGTTCTCTGTATCTAGTAAAAGAAAACAAACGACTTTCGAACCAGCCATCAAACATTGAAAATTTCTTAGTTACTATGTTTTAATGCATTGATGTTTTTGTTAGAGTTGATCCAACCTATCAAATAGGACGTTTTTTAATGCACGAAACATAAATATAATTTCAAACTTTCTGTTGTGTCATCTCTTGGTCGTACTTCATTGTACGCCGTAAATTTGAATGCCTATTAACTTGAAATCTCGTTATCAAGTCACTTACATAACCTCCAGATATCTCGAACCAACCATTACGGGAAACAGAGATATTTTAGCCTTGAGCCCTCTCAACGTTGGTGCATATAACTCTGTTTTGACTTAGTTTCAACCTGACAGGCCAATTTTGATATACGGAATGATCGACTTGTATTGCGCACTAAAACAATTTTCTAGCTGGAGAAAGAAAACGTAACTTCACACTGAACAACGACTTCAACATACACCACTACATAATGTTGCTTTTGATACATTCACAGACACGTTCAAAACTGTCTAAACAGCCCTAATTAGAAGCCTAAAAACTCTAAGCCGGACTCGAAAGTTCTAAGCACTTAAAACTTGTTGAACGAAAATTTTGATCACGTTCGAAATGTGAGAAAAAATTTCTACCTTCACTATCGAGTAGGGTGATTTCATACAATATTGAGCCAAAGGCGTTTGCAACGTGACAAACATACTCCCCATAATCTTCTCCAACCTGTGGCGTGACAATGAGGCTGTTATTCATATATTTGATGTTATCACCGGTTGGAAATTGTCCATCTTTCGTCCAGGAGTAGTTTAACGGAATATGACTTGCTGCTTGACATGAGAGAAAACATGGACTTTGCTTTTCACATATCACTGAGGAAGGGGAAAATTCTCCGATAATTCTGGGTGGAACTGTGTGAGAAAAACAGAAAACGTAATGATACCAAAAAATCAATAAATAAGACAAAACCATGCTCACGCCAACGGAGCTGGGGTGAAACAAATATTTGAGGACACTACCACGATTCACTTTTGGTTCAATCACAAACTTCTAATATTTGGTTAGTACTGAGTACACACACTAAATCCTCAATGACTTGTTAATAAGTGGCTGGGGTAAGGTTGAGCCTAGTAAGGGTGATTATCGTATCGCTTAGAAGAACCACACTTGGTTATTTATTTTGGTAGAGGTTATTTAATTCTCTAACTAAACAAAACTAAATAAAAAAATACACTTAGTCTTGTCATTGTTACCCAATGTTTAATGCAAATGTAGCAAAGTTTCTACCTACCAGCGACAATGACTGTCGTAGCTGTGCGGCTCTCTCCTAACATGTTAATTGCTTTACATTCATAAACACCACTGTCACCAGGAACAACATCTTTTATTATAAGTATTTTGATGTTGTTCTCGAACTGAGCGCGAGGTATACTAGTAACTCCATCTTTAGTCCAGGTTACAGAAGCCTTAGTTTCTCCACTAACCTCACAGGTCAACACTACCAGTTCGCCAATTGCTGTAATGGTTGTTTTTGGGAGATCTTTGTTGGTAGGTTTACCTGAGTTTTGATAAAGATGGAGTAGAGTTATTCCTTAACAAAGTGCAGGATACAAAGCAGCATGAAGGCTTTGCAGCTTCTCTCTTCCCAACTAAAAATAACATAAAATCCCCTCAATTGATACAAAAACTTCAATTTCATCACAAATACAGGAAGACAACCAACACAGAATCGCAGTCTTATATCAATAAAATACTCACAGATTAGACAATATTGAGGTAAACTTGGTTGCAAGATGCTAGATGTCTCTGACAAGGGAAAAGTATACAAAAACACACACAAACACATAACAACAATACCTCTGGTGTCAATGGCTACGAAGTTACCAGAGACATACACCGTCTGCAAAATACAATCACAAAAGCTAATCATCATGTGTAACCTTGTGCTGTGTTTGGTTATAGCACGGTGACTCAGAGCTCCTGCTAAAAGCTGCTGTTATAGCACTCCATTCTTTAAGCCCAAAGCGCAGGTAAAAAAAACGGCAAACTAATAGTTTAGGAGAGGGAAGTCCCTGAGACACCTGAGATGATGGCCTGGAAGAGGTGGATGAGTCAGAATTTTCACTCAGTTCTTTGACTGAATGAATAGAAAATCCCTTCCTAAGGATAAAAGTTTGTTAGGATACCTCGGAAACAAAAGCCCTGTGGAACACTCTGTAGTTTGTATTCAGCTGCAGTGGTTTGTTGTAATAAAACTGATCACCACCACTTCTCTTACTCCTTTCTTTATCGCTGGACTGCACTCCGTTTCCAATAACAAATTCCTGATTTTTATCAAAATCGTTTCCTCCAAACTGAAAAGCGACATAAGCCGCAGGAAAAGAAGATTTATGCGCTTCTTCATACGTCATCATGTCTTGTGTTGTAAATCTTTGCGGTGGTTTAACAGCTCCAGTATAGTTTGAGCTAATTGTAATGATGATAACTTGAAAAAATCTGCAAGATACACTACAGGATATTACTAGTGTTAGCAGTATCTCGTGGTGCCAATTGTTACTTGTTAGTTACATTTACTTTACATTATATTTTGGCACATGACAATACACAGGATGTCGATGATTACAGTACAAGATAAAATAACCCTAACACTGAGCCACATCTTTCTGTGTAAAGTCCTTCCTTTGCCATTCGTTAGCAAGACGAAAGCCTACTCCTGTGCAAATATCCCTCAAAGTAAACGTAAAACTACATATAGTCAATCATACCTTGCATTTCCAGGAAAACGTGGAAGCGTGACTTTAGCTGAAATTCCTCCTTCTTTTAAATTCGCAAAAAGAGAAGGCGAAGATGGTGTTTCTTTAGACCACACTACAGCTGGGGAAAAGGGAAAGAAGGCTCAGAGTAACAATGTCACTTTGATGGCCGCACAATAACCCAGATTAAACTGTAAAACGAAACTAGTCTCTATTCATCCGCCATGACAACCGGAAAGCATGGCCCATACAAATATCCATGATCCTTTGCAATGTCTTAGAACTTCCTCTAGGACAACTTCCGGTAGGATTACTATTAAAACATTACCCTCAGTTTAGACAGGTAGATCTAACGAAATCCTTATATTACTGTGTACAAGAACGTGTAAGGTTACAGGTGCCTGTTAAGCACACACTCAAAAAGTTACGTAATTTCCCTGTGTTTCCCATACGTTTATATCATAAGTTGCTACAACCCTATTGTTTAACGCCCTCTGATCAAATCTCCTCAATACATCTACCGACAGGCTTACTTACCCAATGTCTGCACCATTAAGGTCTACTGTAGGGTCCAGGCCCCGCAACAGTGTAGCCTCGAACAGACACTTCGTACTTGGCACACCAAGCGAGTCCACTGACGAGAACATAAGTTGTAGATGTGTTAATGGTTGAATGATAGGCAGACTGGATCCCTTTCCAGTTTTCCAGCACACTGAGCCTAACCTCATATCTTATGATATCACTGTGGGCTACTTCTCTTGGCAGTCCAAGCCAAGTTACATTCATTTCTGAGGAGTTCACTGCAGAAGAAGATACCGCTTCTGGTCCACAACTGGGCTCTATTTAAAAAAGACGAAAAACAGCTTTCATCAAGTAAAATTACTCTTGGACTACACCAACGCGTCAACAGAATGACAAAATAATATTTTTCAGAATATTACTCATAAATAAAACTTGTAACAGATATTTAAAGATGACGGAGTAAAAAGAAAAAACAAAACAAAACAAACAGAGAAAAAGAAAGAAAAACAGCGAAGAAAACCAGATTACTATGCCTTGCTTAAAACATCAACTCTTAAACTTGTGATAAAAGTAGAGTTTATGAGTAATTCAAGATTTATACTGCATTTAAAAATGTCAGAGCTTTGATGGACGAAACATATGGATTAAAAGTTGTATCTTGCGGTTCTTTCTGTAGTGCAAGATACAACTTTTCATGGTAAACAGATCAAATCAAACAGACAAAAAAAGCAATTATAAATCGAATCATTTTTGAACATGAACAAGGATCACCCCGATCAAATCACTACTAAATATTGTAATGCATGTGAATGTGTTTAAGTGCAGACGAAATGTCGTAACGGTAAATGTAAAGAACTCACTGTATTCCTTGGCAGTTACAGTTGTTGTCCCATTTGGTCCAGGTTTAATAGTCACAGCTCTGACATGAAACTGATAAGTCACTCCACCCAACACATCAACTGTGTGATTCAATGCATCTTTGTCTATACCAGAAACCTCTCTTGTCACAACTCCACCGTGACTATAAAACAAGGTGTAATCCCTTAAAACTCCATTTGGATCTGCAGGCTTACACCAGGACAATGTTATTCTAGGGCCATGCAAATTGCTGGGTGGCACATCAACAGAAGACAAAAACCGAGGTGCACTGGGAGCTGGAAGAACTAAAGTGTGATTTTCACGAAGAGCATGATACAGAAGATTAGTACATGTAGTAATAAAGTATGTTATCACAAGAAAATTATCGTTGCAGTATATCGAAAAAGTGTAATGTAAGGATATGCTGCCCCTCTATTTGGGTGTTTAAAGAACTGGCGCTTCCTTGGGGATAGTTTAAGAATGAAATAAATACAGGTTCATGGTTGAAGAGTTCACAGTGACAATTAACAGAGGAGGAGGTTGTGAAGGAGCTTCTGGTACAGGTCATATCATTTATTCCAATCTTCCCAGATGGTGGGACCAAAATCATAGGAAACTGTCATCCTTTTGAACAGTTGAGAAAGTTCTTTTTTTTTTTAAATGTACGAGACTTCTCACTCTTTTTCAATTGACACTTCATAAGTGACAATGAACACCTAATTATTGGAGGATAACAGAGTCTTCCCAATTTTATCTCATTTTCTATGAAATAAATTTGATTGAAAAATGGTTTCTCCTCCTCATGGCATAGCATGGAAAAGGTTGATATGTTGCTTATTAAATGAATACTATGTACGTGTAGTTCTTTACACAAAGAAGTAGAAACATTTTCTAAAACCTATCAGTACGACACAATTACCATATTGCATGATTTGACTGATTAAAAAAAATATTTGAAAATTTAGGAAATGTGATAGCCATAACAGGGGAAAAGTATCCGTTATATTTTGAAATGTTTAATAGAGAAATCATTTAATTCATAAATATTTACTTTTATACTCGTCTCATCATGTGTGTGGTTATCTACAATGTGATTGTCAGGACATCAAAGATGAACATGCAACAGTTCACAAAATAAAGTTAAAAGATTCCCACTGTCCCTGATCTCACACATACCATCTTCCATTGTTCTTTCGGCCTTAACAGAACTTTTCGGTCCATCACCAATAGAAGTGAAGGCTAACACTTGAAATTCATTACTCTGTGTACTTCTCAAGCCCAGACAAACTGCTACGTAATTTTGTCCCATTGTTAATAAAAGAGGTGTTTTCTGCCCCACCAGACCCTTTCTTTCTGTAGATGAGTTTAAACCCTTTGATTCTTCCGTGTCTGCCAATTGCTGGTGGTAACTGCCAGGAAGCTGTAATGCTGGTAGAAGAACTTGCAGTCAACTTGAAAGCAGTTGGAGGTTTTGATGGAACTGAAAGAAATAACAAGAAATCATGCATGCTTCCATTCTTAGTTGATGATGGATGTGTAATTCAGAAAGGATATGTAACTAACCAAAATAGTACACTGAGGAGGCATTACGTAGAAAAAGTAGTTTAGAAGATCACGTGATACGTTGATTGTATTTACACATTAGACCTATATTCTTCCTATATTGAATGTGAAGACGCAGTTCATGGCATGAGTTTAAGAACTTCGTTGACATGGCAACCTACTAAGTTCCAGAATTTACAACGCGATGTAGAGCATTTTACCGCTGTATTTGACGTTTTGTTTTCATATTTGCCAATAATCTCCTGTCTACATGACCTAGCCTGGTTTTACTTTTGCGGTTTTGACAGAACCTTAGATGGAAAGACACCTGGAAACATAATTAATAGGAAGGATCAGTTTATAGTCTGTCATCAAACAAGTGGTTACAAAAGTGGACGACAGCAAACCAGAACTCCGATTTGTCAGTCACGAGTATGAAAAAAACGAATACATTTGAGAAATTATCCCCTATAAAGGAATTTTTGAATGCAAAATATTCCTCCGTTTTGGAAATTCTCCAGTTTTGTAAGGTAGGTGGCTGTTGCTATAGTTACTATAATCAATACTCTGATTGGTGGATTTACCTGAGGGGACTTAATAAGATTGGCTGCTTTAACTGGCCGACTACAGTTGTCGGATTACAGCCAACTGTCTGATTTTACTTTCTGATAACAACTCTATCACAGAATTATTGGTAAAAAATAAAGCAGTTAATGGACCTATCACATTTGAGGAAGTTGTAATGGTTATGATTGAGGGTACTTTTAGACAGAAGTACGAATAAACAGCCAAACAAATACCTTTAGTTAGAAGTATTCCATATACCTCCACTCTCAGAACATTCCGATTATGATAATTTGTTGGTTGAAATCGGATAAACTTTGCACTTGCAAATTTCTGGAGACTGTTTTTCACAATACCATCTCTATTTGAGTTTCCAGGAAAGAGCTGTAGTTTATGGTGTAAAAAATGAAATTACTGTTTAGTACTAAAGATTTCATAATAAAAATACTGTATCATTAACGACTAAAAGTATGAGATAATCCATGAGGTAACTTTGAGCTGGTGGCTTGTCAATGAAGCCTGAGCCATTGAGTTCTGTATGAGGAAGTGTCTTTGATGTCCAAAGCAAATTATCAAAATTAAACAAGAAACTTTTGAGGATAAAGTTAGTATAGCTTTGTGGGGTACTGTTGGTTATATTCCCAGCATGTGTACTGTTTTAAAATATCTCGTTAATTTTTGTGAAAACAAGTACTGTAACATCACTTTATCTAGCTAGGTTGTAATGGTTAGTATGAAGTCCACATAATTTTTACTTCTTAACAACTACGGGATTTTGATGCCACACAGATTCATGTTCCTACTGGAGGGAGCTGCGTAGTCTTGTATAAAACATCAACAGTTCTACGTTCACTTTGAAAGAAAATCACAGCTAAATGTGTTGAGAAAGTGAACAGCCCTTTTACCTCCCTTCTTTTGAAAAAATAAACAGTCAAAGACTGCTTGTGGCTAATGGTAAAGCACAATTTTTATGGCTTAAAAAGAAAAAAAGAACAGGAGATCGTATAATAACGTTAGAAGGAACTGCTGTTGAATATTTGTCTCACTTGCAAAACAGAAAACCTTCCACACACCACACATTTATGAGTACCCAGCTCCACAAGAGAAAGATGATTCAAGAATATATTGTCTAATTGACTCTTGACCAATAATTAGAAGAAATGAAAAGATTTTACGTTCGGATCTACATAATTTGCTTAAACGGTAAAAAATGCTCTCTGTTATTAAAAGAAAAATATAATTTGAAGTTTCATGATGCGCCGATCAAACCTTTCAACATTCCTGCAAGGAACAGCTTCTGTTTCTAGAATCGTGTGCAATCCTGAAATGATTGTGAGATGCTTATCGTCTTCTGCTGTCTTCCATAGTGTCATGGCAAGAACTAAAAACATAATTTGCTGGTGGCTATAGGCCAGAAATCACAAAAGGAGAGAGCCCAACTGAGCATTGAGTGCGATTGTCGAACTACCAGGATACTCCGAAAAAAGAAAAAACAGTACGTAGCAGCCGCTAACATCGGGTCATAATTGGGTCAAGATCGAAATTCCATTGTTACAATCACTCACTCGCTCACTTACTCACTCAATCACTCACTCGTCTCGACAACATATGTCACTTCGTCTCCTACAGGAGGCAGTAGCCACAAAAAGCAATGGGTGCTTCGGTGCTAATTTTTCCTCTTGATGTATAAAAGAAATAACCTTCGCATACACCAACCTTTTCAATATTAGTTTCATTATAAGCGGAAAAAATTGTACCATCGAGTGATAAATGAATCTTGTACTCAGTTGTCCATTCATTGTATCCCTTACTTCCTTGAGTAGCCACAGCACAGATAAAATGCTCATATAGCAGGTCAATTTGTAAGTAGTCTTTCGGATCATTTGTTGATTTGGGTGTCCACCCGCTGACATTTGCATTCGAGCGACCATCCCAGGGTTCATATCTATCATTAAAACCGAAGTGGCTGTGAAGCTGCTGTCTGGAATTGTACCACCAGTAGCCAGACCAATGGCCTCCATGTTACATATTACAAGATAACAATTTAAACTCAGCCTTCATATTCATTACAAAAATGTTTAATATAATTAGAATAATCAAAGGAATAATCATCCTGGATCTGTAGATCAATGTCACCGTCGGCTAATTGGTTTCTCATCTACATTGTACATCGCTTTGCTTTGCAATTCATCAAAGTTTCATTGATATATAGATAAACAGCCAGTAGGTTTAAAAACCTTGTCAAAAGATCAATGGAAAATCTTAAATTGCCCAAAGAAGTGGTAGAAGATTAGCAATCCCAAAACATTAAATTCCAAACTTACTTGGCTTTGGCTTCACTCCAAACACCTCTGTTCTCATACACACCCCACCTTGATGAGTTTGTGGCAAAAAGCGTAGATATCTTGTCAACACTCCATAAATAACATGTTTGACCTCGGAGTACCTGTCATTATTTCCTCTCATAACCTAAAAAACAAAACAAAGAAAATATCTCAATACCCCAACATGGATTTTCTTACCTTTCATTTTTTCGCAAATTGAGAAAATGTAGAAGGTCAAATGATATGCATACGGCTAACATTTGAGTTTTTATCCAAATTTCCATCTAAAAACCTAGCAAAAAGTGATCGTGAAGTCTGATCGTGCGGGTTGGGGGCAGTCCAGAGAAGTACAGATGTCAGTAGTGGTGACTGATGTTTCGACAACCTGAGCAGAAGTCATCATACCTCTTTGCCTAACAACTTCTGACGTCGAGATATATGCTGATGATACAACGCTATCGACTACCGATCACTCCATTGACCATATCCAACAGAATTTGCAAGTCAGCCTAAACAAAGCTAGGAATTGGTTCAGGTTAAACATAATGGTACCTAGCATAAAGAAGACGAAACACCTACTCATAGCTACGCGACAGAAATTGAACTACGCTAATAACCCAACCTTAAATCTTTACTTAAATGGCGACCGCTCAGAAGAAGCCAAGGATGAAAAACTCTTCGGCTTCAAGATCGACAAGCACATTAGCTGGCTCAACCTCATCGAATACTTAATTAGGAAGCTGAACTCTAGAATTTATCTGTTAAAAAGAGCGAATGGCTACCTTGACCTCCACTGCAGAAAATTGTTATTTAATGCGCTTATTAAGCCAGTCTTTGAATAATGCTGTTCGGTTTGGGGTAACGCC